TGGAAACAGCCAAAAACATGGTGCTTGTTTTTGAGCGGAGCGGATCGCCAACCAGCCTTACCGGCTTGTAGTATTTTACTTCTGTGTTATTGTGACATTTGACCTAGTCTTGTCTTGTAATTAATTATGCGGGCATGCTCAGTAGTGCCTAACAACCAGGTGCAGTCATCAGTTAATGGTTAAATAAACAAACCAGTCCTTTCCCTCAGATAAACTGTCTCATAATAATTCTTTAATAACATTACAGGTACTTCACTTCAAGAATTAAATTACTACCCCAGTAATGCTATAAACCCCAGCTCCATCACTTCATCAGCACTTTTCCAGAAGGAGTGGCTGCAGTCTTAAGAGTTAATAAGTTAATAAGTTAAAAACCACACATGGCATTACCTGGTGCTCTGCCTCCCATATCATTATTGCATGTCTTGATGTATTTATCTGCAATACACACAAACAAATCTTTGCCTACTGGTTTGTTGCTTACCAGTCCTGGTTACACGAAAAAAAAACACAAGATTGAGAAAATATACAACTGTGATCCTGACATCTTTTATTTAAACATCAATTGTATTACAGTAAAAAGCATAAAGCTGTGGTCGTTATAAACGTTTTATAATAACATACATTTTTATAAATCAAAATGGATGTTAGAATTCAAATTTACCAATCCAGGAATGGTATTGTAACATTGATGTTAGTTCTACCGAGAGGGTCAGTAATATTAAAGAGACAGTTCCAGATTATCCAGTCAGCAAGCGCCAAATTTTGAATATGTGGGTGGCCACATTTGCTACATCACATGAGCCAATCACAATTGAATATTTGAATTTGAATAAAAGCTGATATTCAGCTTTTACAATTCTTTATGAATACATTTAGAATCAAAGCCTTAGCCCTCCAGGAAGTTTATACCAAGCATATTTGTTATTTGTTTTTTCAACGGTTTCTGAAGGATGCTGATGACGATAGATCTAAATACTTTGTAAGATGATATACCCACCTTCTGCAGTAGCTATGTGAAGTACAGTGTCATCACTGATACGCCAGTTAGGTACTGTGTAATGTACGAAAAAAATGGATATGATGCATGACTTTCTGTGCAATTGTTTTTTTCCAATCAAACAGTCAATCATCATAATCATCATCATAAATACAAACCATCTTATCACTCTCTGCAAATATTTAGTTAAATCTAAACAAGACTAATTCTTTTATTTTGTCATGTTCTTTTATATTTTTTACATATTCTATGCTACATACAGTGATACTTACATATCACAGTATTTTAATATTTCTTATATTATTAATATTTGTCTGTAGTATTCTTGTCGTTCACTAATGTTGAATTCTTTTTAAATCAATTTTTATATTTCATGTACTTTTATTATTTACTTTATTAATCTGAAAACCTAAAAGGAAATGTTAACTCTTTCTTTACGGTATTAATAAAGCATTATTCTATTCTATTCTATTCTACTGTCAAAAGGTTAATACAAATATTCAAATGTTTTGATCGCACCTAAAAGGCAATGCTTTTAAATTTAGTTTTATATTATGTATTCATTGAAATTTACATAAAATGTCTTCATCTTAATATCACCATATACTATTGTTAATAATAACAATAACAAATTTATTGCATCATTATAAATATAGCTTTCACAGCAATAAAATATTAGTGATAAAATACTAAAATAAAATTTCAGTTATTGCCATTTCCGATTTCAAATAATTTGCGGAAATATTCACTAGCTTGCTATTTATGTAGCATAAATATAATTATAAATTGATTTCCTCTCTCTGAAGTTTAGTTTTCACCCCACTTATTCAATGACCAGTCCCTTATTGATCAATAAATACTAGTACCAGAAGTACATTACTTGGGGTTTGCAATGCGCATAGTTCTGTACGCTGACATCATCATGTCAAGATCCCATTCAAGTTTTATCTCGTAGATATCGAGACTGATGCTACGACCTTCTGACATGACATAGGCGGTTTGTAATAAAACAATACAACATGTATTACCACATTCATAGTAAAAAAATGTAATACATCAAAAATATATGGAAAATATAGTTATCGTAACGTGAACAGCTATTTTTATCCGCCTGGACATCCTAGTATCCTAGTTACCTTGGGCATGCGCATTCGCATTTTTCTGAGTTGGAACGCTTATGCGAGAACAAGATTGAAACGGAATCTTGGTATCATGTCACCTTAGTTGCAAACCCCAAGTAATGTACCTCTGGTAGTACATACATAATCTTCTTTTTTTTATTTTCTCAGAAACAAAAAAAAAAGCATTACAAAGACATACTGGAGTCAACAAACTCATGATGTACATTATAAGTTACTAGTATTCATAAATTCTAATGGCAGTTATACATTGTATGACCTCGTGCAGCTAATTTAATTTTATACGTATGAGCACTTAGTGGAATAGATCAGTTACAAGTAAAAAAATGTTATAAACTAATTTGGGTACAGTCTTCTGCCATTCACTGTATTATATATACAAATAATGAAGTTTAGTTAATGGGTTAAAGTTAAGTGAACATACATGATACCGTAATTTTATGAAGTCCACCAAACTCATCCAACTTTTTGTGGATGGTTTTTCCCGAGTTGCAGAACTCCCACTCTCCATTTTTATATCCCAGTGCATCACCAACCGCACTCAGCACCATACCAGCTTTGTATCTGTCAAGCATTGTATCTCTTGTTAAAATGTAAACCCCTACAAAGATAAATAAAATTAATTGCATTAATTCATTCACAAAATACATTTCTAAGTTGGTATACATAGAATAAATCTTTTCAAAAAATAAAATACATTGCAATGCTACCAGACAAAATTTGAATTCAGGACATGATATAGCACTCACACGATCAAGACTCATAGAAAATGATTGTACTGATAGCAAAAGCTCATTTTGCCAGATAGAACATGTTTGTGCTCATTCACATCACATGCAAACTAGCAATACTTAAATGTGTTTAAATTAATTGACTAATATTTGTCATCACTCAGTAAATGTAAAAGCACCATAAAAGCTTGCATATTATTCTTGTCAGAATGTAAACTGTAAATCCATTAATCTCACTATGAATATACTCAGTATAGTAAGTATAGTTTCACATCATGAGCTTTTCGAAGTGGAGACAGAAGCAATTTCATGCAAAAAATTTTCCTTCGCATATTTTTATTTAATTTTATTTAATGCATAATGCATATATGCATTAAGTGTGGCACAAACTATTAAAACTTGAATACCATTTTAAAAAGATCAGAGATCCATTATATTTATTTGTAGAAAATCTTCTCTAATAACACCTATCACTATTCTGAGTTTTAAATATTTACAATGTTTTTCTATGTTTGAAGAGGGTCATGTTTATTCCTCATAGAGCCAGTGTATTTCTGAACATAGACAGGAGAGAGTTTTCACCTTTGTTGTGAAGTCTAGAGGCTTACATTAGCTGTGTAATGTAAACACTTGTTTTTTCTTTTAAACTAGGTCAGTGATCCTTTGTTTTATTATTATTAATAGATTATAATAATTTCATAGAGCACCATGAACCAGAAAATGCTTAATGTTTTTGTGAAATTAGATTGAACATCTTCAATAAAATTTTCAAAATTGTGTGGTTGAGGGCGCAATTTATTTACTGCTACCGCAGCCTAAAACTCAGATCTCAGATTCACGGTGAGATTAACACGAGTCATCTCAATTTTGATGTTTCTGATATTCATGAAATCATGCGTACCTCCCAAGGCTAAATTACTTGGTGAATGCTGTGATTTGTCGGGCACCACTTCCTTGCTCATAGCATATTGGCCGAGTCCGGCCACCGGCCTAGTATTAGTAAGAATCTGGCCGGCGGTCACCGCATGATCTGTCGCACGCCTTCAAACTTACCTGCTGTGATCAGTTTCTTTATGAGAATCAATTTCCAAATCATCAAATGTAAACTCACACTTTCTGTATGTTTATTTCCGTGTATGACATCACTGCTGATAGCACACGTGACGTAAGTGAATCATCTGAGGTACTTTCATTACACACCCGGACAACCAGAATGCGAGTCAAGTCTGACCTCAACAACGCCATCAACGTCAGTTGATAGCTTTGAATGAGTGAACAACCCGGGATGGTATATCGTAAAACTTAGTAAAGACACGTGCAAAACAGGTTAGTATCAGTGTATTACCGTACGCGTTCTGCCAAAACAATGTTTGAAGACTGCGCTACATGTTTTCTATAAATATTACATAAGATCAGCCTCAAACTTTGAACTCGATGTAGTAGTACATAAACCTAGTGAACAATGCCCGACTTCGACATTGGAACAGTGGCCAACAGTCATATCTAAAGATATGTTATGTCAATAAACGAATAGCATACATATTGAAAATTACACTGACCATGGAGCTAAAATATTTTAGCTCCATGCACTGACAAAACACCAGTGGAAAAATTAAATCTCAAATTATGTAAGTTATTATTACAGGTAAACCAATCATCCACCAATCTAGCAGTAAGAGGAGAATTAAGTAGATACCTACTGTCAATATTTATTAAGAAAATATTATTGAAATTTTTGTTAAGAACAAGCACAAAAAACAAACAAATACTCTAATCCATGAGACAATGATGAGTACGATGGAAAATCCTCATGGGCCAAGTCAATGCAAAAGTTACTGGTAAAAAAGAAGAGGGTAACTTTTGGAATGGGAAAGAAAATAACATTCAAGAAATTTGTAAACGTGTAGAGACTGACTATGATTCAAATTGGAAACAAATTATAAATACAGATGGGACAGGGGAAAAGAATAAACTAAGAACATATGAATTATTCAAAACAGAATTTAATATTGGAGGAGTATGTAAATAATATTAAGGATGGTGGAATAAGAAAATAAATATTCTTGTCTTGTTTGTTTTTGTTTATGTATTGATGTATTGTTATTTAGTTATAGATTTGACTATATGTTCTACTCGAAATTAATAATGTCAATAAAGTTATTATTATTACTATTATCAGTACTTCAAGGTCATGACGATGACTGACTTGAGATATATTGAGATTTTTGTTATTGAAAAATATCTTGCCCCAAATAAGCCATAAATAAAATTTAAACATTACGTATTTTTTAAAGAGGGGGGGGGGTCCACCTGCACATGCGTCAGATGGCCATAGCGTGTCATTGTTTACAAACAAGCGTCTACCCATGAGCCTTTGCGTTTTTAGCATGTGTTGTTATCGACACTCGCGACTCAATTCCCTCGCGTGTGAAGGAGATGATCGTCTCGCTTTAAATTAGTATTGTAATATATTAGCCATAATATATATGACTGGAGATTTTAAATTAATTATAATTTCATCGGACTCCTTTTTATAATCATTTATCATATTAGACAAAAATTTGATTTTTTTGTCATACTAGGTGTAAAATAAAGTGGCAAAGTCATTCAAGGTCGAAGGTCAACCCTACCGATACTTTCTGACAGGTTTTTATTTTGGTGCGTAAACATGAAGCTGATCATTACAAATGAAATGGCCAATTTGATTGAATACAAAAATAACATTCACAATGTTTACTTATAAGGTAGAATGTTTTAAACTCATGTTTTTTTTTACATTTGCTGATATTTTATAGCAATGACACTATTTTGTGTCCAAATATGTTTATAATTACAGCAATCAGTTTTATGTTAGCAAACAGTATGTGGTTGTTGTTTTTTTGAGACTTGTATACTGTAGAATACTTTATTTTAGCTAGAATTAATTTTCGTTGAAAATACATTTTTGGCTGTTTGTTTTTTTTTAAGTTTATTTTTCACTTATATTTGCCGAATTGAATGTTAGATACTGTGGAATACTTTTTTTTTCGCTGGAATTAATTTTCGCTGAAAAGGCTTTTTTTGGCGTTTTGCTTGGAATTTATTTTCACTGATTTTTGATGAGATTAATGTAAAATATAGGAAAAAATGTATATTCGCTGGATTTTATTTTCACAGAATCATCCCTTCAGCGAAAATAAATTCCAAGCGAAAATAAAGTATTCTACAGTATAGGATTTTATTTTCACCATTTTATCCCTATAGCAAAAATAGTGAAAATAACTAACAATTAAAAATAAAGTACTTTGCAGTAAAATGCATAATATGTGTAATACTAAATATGAAAAAGTATATTTTAAGACTCTGTATATATTTTTTCCATCCTTTGGCACCAATCATAATTTCAAGATGTAGAGATATGTATGTTTATTTATTTATTAATATTTCACAAATATATAATACTACATGATATACAAACTGTACATGGTACACCAGTATACATGGCTTTCTCCAAAAAATAAGGCAACAAAAAATTTAAATGAAACTAAAAAAAGACACAGGAACTATTCATTGTTGGTGCTTGTTATAATTTTTTTTGTGTGTTCAAGACATACAGTTATTTTTTAATGAATTGTGCTAAATAAAAAGTCTAATTTAAAGCAGGGGCTAGTCTCCTGTGTTTGCAGCAGACAGCCATTGTTTTTCACATATATGCATTTACCCATAAGTCTTAGCATGTGTTATCATCATCTGGGACTCAATTCCCATGCATGCGTGGG